GATCATATAAAGGAATTATATGTTCAAAATTCACACAACTATCGATTGATACTTTGTAACAATGCATATATCTCATTTGTGACACGTATTTTCGTATATATATATAATTGTCTCGTATAATTGATACCCAATTCTATAAAGTTCATAATTTGTTTCTTAGATTTGTATTCTTCATGATCTTTAGTCTTATAGACAATATGTCACAATATTTTTTTAAAGAAAGCCATCTAAAATTAAAACAAAAAATGATTTGATAAAATTTTCAAATAATATTAAGAGTTCCATTGCAGCATCATTAATCAAAAGTCAGAGGTATATATATTTTTTTAAAATAATTATAATTTTTTAATTAATTTTTACATATTATGATTATTATTTAGGATACTTCACAAATTATTCAATTAATTGATATAATTTTATAATATTACAATTATAAAAAATGTTCTTTTTTATTTATATTTCATCAATTATACATTTGTATGCTATATTTCTAATTTCTAATTATATTATATTTATTTATTACAAAAGTAAGAATCTTCTCTCGACCGTACTGGCAAATATTATTTATTTAATCACAACGTTTTGACCCTTTTTTGAGTCCTTATCAAGTGATTTGTAAAAATAAAAATAAAATTATAATTCTAAGATGTCCAGAACGAACATAGTGTCGGTTTGACAACACGTCAAAACTCTCAGACGAGTTATTGGAGTCTGTTTGTTTTAATAAATTAATGTATATTAATTTTGTTACTAAATTTGAAATATAGAAATATATATATATATATTTATAAAATTTATTAAATATCCCGAAAAGTATCACACTTCATTATTTGATTCCATATATGTTAATGAATACGGATTGGAAATGAAAAAAAAGTAATAAATGGATTAAATGACGATTTTCGAATATATATAATTTAAAATTATAGAAAATCCATATAAAATCGTTATATTTGTACAAAAAAATGTTATATAGACAACACATACGCGCGCGTCATTGTCCAATTTTTTTTAAATTGTATTTAATTTTGGTTTTTAACAATAACTGTTAACCAAATGTAACTCACAATGCATATCTAATCGTTGCATCGACGCAAAAAAAAGTAAAATATTTAGGAGAATCAACTTGATTTGCCTTTTTTAAAAAATGATTGTTCAATAGATTCTTTTTATTCTACTCTTTATTTCATTATATTATACTTTTTATATTTGTAATTTTTAAAATAAAATTTTCAAATATTACTATGATGCAATGTTCGATCTATTCATGAAAATTTACAAACAACAAGAAATTACTTTTGAGAAAATTTTGTTTCCATATATTTTGTATAGCTGGCTGCGTAACGAAATTGTTTGCAGACGCATCGGAAATTTATGATATCCTCGATGGTGATAACCTTGTAGCCGAGAATGGTGGGTATCAATTTCTTTGGTAAAGATGTTATTGTTGCCATTATGACAAAAATTCGAGAAAGATCACTATAGAAAATTATATAAACTAAAATAATTGCAACAAATTTTTTGCGAATTTAATATAATAACTGGCTGCTTCTAAAGACATTAAATTTTAGACTGCACAACACGTGTTCGATGTTAACGCTGCGCACGTTGTTCACTTTTTGTCCATTATTTTTCTCAAATATCTATACCTGAAATGCTAAAGTAGTCCCTTTCGCCCTGCATTATCTTGTGATGTGCCATACGTAATAAAGAGAAACAAAATAGTGTCCGGTAATTAACGGACCAATGATTAAGGGTTGATTTTCTGGCCAATTTGGAGATGATTTTTTTTTAGCAAAAATGTTGAGAAATCAATAATTTTCGAGTTATAAGCGATTGAAAAACATGAATTTTTTAAAAACTAAACGTTTTGGAGTTAAAAGTCTAACATAATTACATTCTTCAGTTAATTTCAGGTAGAGATTACTATAATATAATTTCAATTTGAGGCTTAGTTATATAGATATATAATGACAAATATTGGAAAGTTATAAAAAATGATGACCTTTTTCGACATTTTTGCTGAGAAAAAATCGTTCCCAAATTGACCAAAGAATCCACTTGTAATCGTTGGTCCGTTAGTTACCGAACACCCGGTATATTGTTGGAAACTCTATTGTGCCATTTTTATTCTACAATGAGCCTATCAGACAGAAGAAGACAAAGAATCACAGAGAACAGTATTAAATTAACGCGTAAAAGTGCGTAGCGAATATATAAATAAATCATCTTTTAAATTATGCATCTCTTTAAAGCTTGCACAAAGTAATACATTAAAAATACTAAAAAATTTTCAATTTTTCAAATAAAATATACTTATTTTTATTTTATATATTATTTACAAAAGTACCATTTTCCTATTTCGAGAATTTTTTTTAACTGTTACCCTTTTTTTGTGTTAATTTAATATTATTCTGTAATTCTCTGTCTTCTTCTGTCTTGAAGGTTTATTGTAAAATAAAAATGGAACAATAGAATTTCCAACAATACATTTTTTTTCTCTTTTCTCTTTTCTTATGGTATGCATCACGTGACAACGTGCACGACGGGAGGAAGCATTCTTTAGGTTCTCAGGTAGAAATTTCAGAAAAAAGTGGACAAAGCATGAACAACGTCCGTGGCATTCACATCGAACACGTGTTATGCGAATTGAAATTTTTAATAATTATTCGCGAATAATTTGTTTCACTCACTTCGATTTATATAATTTTCTATAGTGATCTTTCTCGAATTTTTGTCATAATGACAACGATTACATTCTTACCAGAGGAATTGATACCCATTATTCTCAGCTACAAGGATATCACCATCGAGGATATCATTAATTTCCGATGCGTCTGCAAACAATTTCGTTATGCAGCCAGTTATCCAAAGTATATGGAAAAAAAATTTTCTCAAAGGTAATTTTTTGTTGTTTGTATATTTTACATGCATAGATCAAACATTGCATCGTTAGTTTTGTATATTTGGAAGTTTTTTTCTTAAAAATTATATATAAAAAATTAAATAACATACAGAGTAGAATAAAACAGAATCTATTAAATAATCATTTTCTAAAAAGGCAATTCAAGTCAATTCTCGTAAATATTGTATTTTCCTTTTGCGACGATGTGACGATTAGATATGTGTCTCGATTTGCATTGTGAGTTACATTTGCTTAACAATTATTGTTTCAAATCAAAATATGTATGTGTTATCTATATGGTATTATTGTGTTGTAGAAATATAACGATTTTCCATAATTATGCATTTTTTATAATTTTGGATTATTCGCATTTGAAAATCGTCGTCCACGCTATTTATTACTTTTCTTTCATTTCCAATCCGTAATCATTAACAAATGGAATCAAATAATAAAGTGTGATAATTTTCGGGATATTTAATAAATTTTCAAGATATTTAATATATATATATTTTGATATATTTAAAATTTAAATAGTAAATCAATATACATTTATTAAATAGTTAAAAAGACTCTAATGAACAATGGCTATTAAGTGAGTTTATTAAAAAAGAATTTTATTTTATTAAATACTATTCATCTTATAATTTTTCGAACACAAAAAGTATACACTTTTAGATTATTTTTCTGATTGTAAATATTTCCCATTGCGTTTAATAAAAACGTTCCAGTGTTCTGGAAGTGCCAGGATATTTCTAGAAAAGTCTTTTACCTAAGAACATAAAGACACTCATGTAATGCCTCCTTTACTTCATCGTCGGACTTGGAGATCGATTCTTTATTATATAATACAACTAGATAATTTTGTATATTCAAGAAATAACGCGATAAAAAGTATTCAAGGTTTTTAGTTGTCACATTTAATAAAAACAAACGCGTAAAAAACGCTTTAATGAAAGACAAGACGCAGAAATTGGAATTAACGCGTATAGTGAAATATTCAAAATTTTTGTTTTAATTCTTGTCCATTTTAACTTTTTACACGTAACATAATTTTTATAAATACATTATATAATAAAATAATATTTTTAAATAATTATAAAGTTTTATTAAAAACACATGCAACCGCGCGGTGGCTTTCCGTCCATTTTCATAACGTAATGAATAAATGTAATAAAATATAATTAGAAATTAGAAAAATAGCATACAAGTGTATAATATGATAAAATATAAATAAAAAAATACTTTTTATAATTGTGATATTATAAAAATATATCAATTAATTGAATAATTTGTAAAGTATCCTAAATAAATAAAATATGTAAGAATCAAATAAAAATAATAATTATTTTAAAAATATATTGTTTTGAATTTTGATTAATGATGCTGCAATAGAACTCTTTATATTTTTTGAAAACTTTATTATATTATTTTTTGTTTCAATTTTAGATGGCCTTCTTTAAAAAATGTTGTAACAAATTGTCTAAGACTATTAAAGAATTGGGTATCAATTATACGAGACAATTACGAAAATACGTGTCTCAAATGAAATATGTGCATTATGACAATGAATCAATCGATAATTGTGTGCAATTAAAACATATATTTCCTTTCTATTTTGGACATAATAATTATAAACAATTCATGTATTGTGATCGAAAATTCTTCTTATTTTCTTTTTACAACGATGAGCTTAAAAGCTTGTTCACACATTCTCCACTGTAGGATTCTTAATATATTTTGTAGTGCTAACATCTTTATAGATTATGTTCTTGCACAGTTTTAATATGTAAATTTTTCAGAATTGGTTGCGATTTAACCGAAAGATATTATCACGAGAAACTATTTAACTATATAAAGAATTCTAGAATAAAATTAAGCTTGGGCAAATTTAAGACTTTACCTGATAGAGCACGGCTTATGGAATGGATTGCCTTTAATGTAGCACAAACTTTACAAATCCAAAAGGATGTAACTTACGCGTACGTAGTAGAATCTTTGGATAATATTGCACGAGAGGTACAAAATTATCTGAAAGAAAAACATCCAGATCAATCGATATTTTCGACGTCCGCTGAAACTTTTTCTTATTGGAAAAACAATAATATAGACACTAATCACTGGAACGAAGCGGAAGGAATTCAGATTATCGATGCATTGAACGAATACATATTTGGCAAAGTAAATTTCCGACCGTGCAAAGTAAACGATACAAATCTAGAATACATGTGTATAGATAATGTAAGTTATATAATGTATATTATAACCGTATGTGGCGTCAAAAGAAGAAAATCGTACTGTGAGCATGGCCGTTTGTTTGTTTATATATTAAAAATACTGTCATTCTCTCATTAATGTATTGCAATTTCTGTCATAGGTACTAAAAAGTAGATATGGACAAGAAATGATTATATTAATAATATATCACAGCGTGGCAAGAAGACTTGGTCTACGTTCCGACATTGTGGCATTCGGTGAACGATTAGAACTATCTTACTGTATACATTGGAAATCCAGATAGTAAGTAGTATAAAATTAAATTTGGAATTATTGAAATCTTTTAAAAAATATTTCTACATATACACAGGTGTGCATAATAGATAAATAATATGTTTGCTTTGCAGTGGCACGATTAATCCAGCAAATGAAAGATGTTTTAGTGTAATGTTTAACAAATTCCCGGATTGTCGTGTCAATAAATCAGCGTATCAAAGAGGTTGCAAAATTTATATCGTAATGATTTTTTACCGTGCAACAGATTAGGTCGAATATCACCATGTGAACTGCGAGACAGGATACTGCTAAGATTTGCGGATTTGACATACCATTATAACAACATTTCTCAGATTAAGGAGCGTAAAAAAATTTATTTATTTAAAACAAGTAGCTTTGAAGTATGTATGCACTATACACACCGTATTAATTAAAATATATTATAATAGTAACAATAAATTCTCTTTTCTTTCTTTTTGACAGGTACAGCTATATACATATGAGTTATAATTATTTATAATTTAATAATAAGAATAATTAAATATGCTATAAATATATATTTAAGAATTAAATGGTAAGAATTATAAATTAAAGTATAACATTATACTTTCAGGTCAAAGAACTTTGTTTAAAAACAACAGGGCAATTCATTAGAACAAAAAACGTAAAATTTGCGGTAGGAATGATCGTAACACATCATGATGATTGCAATAATTGCGACGGCGTCATAATCGGATGGGATCGTCATACAGACAGACGTTATGAAATTTTGACAGATAATCAAGAGACACGGTAGTGTCTCACGACCAGTTAAGGGCGTAGCGGAGACACCGTGTATCTTAACGCGAGTCGGACATTTGAGTCTTTATAATATTTCGAATCCTCAATAATGGCTGAAGCAATCGAGTTTATACTAGACTTAATCGATAGATTGAGTTCGAATTATATAATAAAAGTGTCTTTATTTCTGCTCTACGTGATTTGTAAGCAGAGATATATAAATGCAAAGTCGAAATATGAAAAATTTCTATTAAGAAACGTCCCCGTCATCATTATCATCATTATCATCATTATCATCATCATTATCATCATCGACCACGCATACATAGTAGTATCGTGCTACACGTATTCACACGTATACAACACATGCGCACACATATATCACACGTACACAACACATGCAAGATGCATGTAGTGGTAATTTTGTCCATCTCGCACGTTTTACAACAGATGGCGATAGTGGCGCTCCGCCATATCGGCAGCGTGCGGGGTTATGTTGGCTAACTCTCTCTCTCTCTCTCTCTCTCTCTCTCTCTCTCTCTCTCATCTCTCTCTCTCTCTCTCTCTCTCTCTCTCTCTCTCTCTCTCATCTCTCTTCTCACTCACTCACTCACTGTTCGTCTTGTGTACTTATTTAGTACTTCATGATCGGCAGCGTCGGGGTCTACACACACACACGCACACACACACACTCTCTCTCATTCTCACTCACTCACTCACTGTTCGTCTTGTGTACTTATTTAGTACATTCATGATTAAACATCTATATGCATTAATGTGAAATTTACTTACAATTAGTTTACTTGAAATATTCAATCTCTAAAGTGTTTATCTTATAAGATAGACAAAAAAATCTGAGTAAATAATAAGAAAAAAAAACAAGGATTATTATTGTCATAATTTTTTATCAATTAAGTACTCTCAACTATCCAATAATTAAATAAATACGTACAAATGTGCGCGCGTGTACACACATACACATATTGATATTAAAGAGATTGAAGGAGAGGAAGGAGAAGATAAAAATTTAAATATTCACATATATTTTCAAATATTATATATGAATTTATAGTTTACATATCTAATTAATAATTAAACATATCAAAATAAAGACATACATGTATTTATCAAATGAATAAAATTATTGAATACAGACTTAAAAAATTTATTAAACATAGACTTAAAAAATTAATTAATTAAACATATTCCAAATTTAGAAAAAATAAACTTTATTTATATATGCAACAGCTTTTTAAACTAAATTTTTAAATTCTATTTTATATTAGACAATTATCTCAATCAACATCTACGTCCACATTAGCTGCACTGCAGACTACCTCTACAGCCACATTATCTGCTCCGCGGATATAGCGTTATGCCAATACGATACATTACATGTACTTACTTACTTGCCTTTACTGTACCAACTCTTGTTCTTTCCACGTAATCATGTTTTTACAGTTATCGTTTGCTGTATATCTTCCAGCAAACTTTATTTCGTGTGAAGTGTATTTAATTAATTAAATCTCTGCGAAAGATTGAGAAGATGAAGGGATAATTCAAACTATGAAGACATGGTTACATGGAAAAGACAAGAGTTGATACAATAATAAAGACATACATGTATTTGTATCCTGCTGGCATAAGGTTATAGAAGTTGATTGAGATTGAAAAATAATAATGAAAATAATAAAAAAAATAAAGACACATGTATTTGTATCGTGCTGGCATAAAGTTATAAAAGTTGATTGAGATTGAAAAATAATAATAAAAATAATTAAAAAAAGGAAATATTCAATCATCATTTAAAAGCATATTTGAAATCTGTAGAATAAACAGTTTTTGCAAAAAATGTGGAGCATTTGAGCTCTAGTAAGTCTAAAAATAAATGTAAACATCAATTAATAATAACTGATGTTATATATATATTATATATATAAACCAATTTGTTGCAATATTCACTATAAAAGGTTGTAAGGGTAAGATGGCTAAAAGTGAATAATTTAAAAGATAGTTAACATAATTTTACATAAACTGAAATATTTCATAAAATAAAATATTTGTAATATTTCGAAGTTTATGTAAGATTATGTAGATACATAAAAATTATACCTTTACAACTTTTTATAGTAAATATTGCGAGGAATCGATTTATATGAGAAAAATTAAGGTAATTCTATTTTGAAAATATAAGTGACCTTTAAATAACCTTGAAAATCGCCGTTTAGGAAAAAGTCTGTGTCAACTTTTTCTTTTTCGAAATCCTGCAACTTTTATCTAAATTTAATAGAAAATGTATAAAAAATGCTCGACATTAGTACACACACACACACACACATATGGGTAAATTTATATAAATAGGGTGCTTTAGGAGGAATGATCAGGATTCTAGGATATGATTGTACACATCATTTTAAGCAAAGAAGTTTAGATAAACATGTTTAATAATTGTTCTATTCCGGTCATAAAAATATACAAAAATGAATGATATAATCTCTAAAAACTCACCTTTAAAAAAAGGTAAAAAAAGGCGACCAGTTAAGGGCACGCCATTAACAAAAATTATCCATTGCAAACCCATGTAGAATCCTATCCTATTGCAAACCCATGTAGAATCCTATGAAAAATTAATCATTGCAAACCCATGTAGAATCCTAGGCAAAATTAACCATTGCAAACCCATGTAGAATCGTACCCATTGCAAACCTATGTAGAATCCTATGAAAAATTAACCATTGCAAACTCATGTAGAATCCTATGAAAAATTAACCATTGCAAACCCATGTAGAATTGTATTAAAAATTATCCATTGCAAACTTATGTAGAATCCTACATTGCAAACCCATGTACAATAGAATTGTATGAAAAATTATCGATTATAAACCCATGTACAATCGTAACAAAAGTAATGAAATAAAAAAAAAATTGCGCCAAGTGAAAGTAGAAACTTGTACCAGTGGAAAATTAAAGTTGCAGACATATATAGAGTCGTATAATGAATCAGTAAAAATTTAAATTTGCAAATGTAGAATCGTACCATAAAAAAACTTATCTTTTAAAAAAAAAGATAAACAAGATGCCAAGTCCATGCGCCATGTGAAAAAGAAATAAAAAAATTTTAGTTAAAAAAACTGGGAGCGCTGCTAAATAATATTCTAACAATATTAAAATTAAATTGTTACTTTTAAACTCATTACAATTAAAATATGTTTTGTGTTTAAATTAATTAATGTTACTTTAAGGTGCATTGTAATTTTGAAACTTAGCAGCGCGCCCAGTTTTTTTAACTAAAATTTTTTGATTTCTTTTAAATATATTAAGAATCCTACCGTGAAGAATGTGTAAGCAAGCTTTTAAGCTCATCGTTGTAAAAAGAAAATATGGAGAATCCTCGATCACAATATATGAATTCTTCATAATTACTGTCTCCAAGATGGGAAAAAAATATGTTTGAAATGCACACTATTATCGATTGTTTCATTGTGATAATGCATATATTTCATGTGAGACACGTATTTTCGTAATTGTCTCGTATAATTGATACCCAATTTTATAAAGTTTATAATTTTTTTCTTGGGTTTGCATTTTCTACGATCTTTAATAGTCTTATTGTTAGACAATATGTCACAATATTCTTTTAAAGAAGGCCATCTAAAATTAAAACAAAAAATAATTTAATAAAGTTTTCAAATAATATTAAAAGTTCTATTGCAGCATCATTAATCGAAATTCAGAGCAATTTATTTTTATAATAAATATAATTTTTATTTGATTTTTACATATTATATTTATTTAGGATACTGTACAAATTATTCAATTAATTGATATAATTTTATAATATCACAATTAAAAAAAGTATTCTTTTTTATTTAAATTCATCATATTATACACCTGTATGCTATATTTCTAATTTCTAATTATATCATATTACATTTATTTATTACGTTATGAAAATGGACGGAAAGCCACCTATACACTATAATAATGTCATAGTTTCTACTATATAATATTTAGTCTTAAAATATAAAATTAAAAAAAATTTTTTTTCTAATCATTGCATAATGTTATTCATAATATTAATTCGCAGATTTAGTCCTCTATGTAATTAGAGCGGAGTCTTCCGGGTAAAGTTTCGTTAGCATTTTATTTGGTACGTAATGCGTATTTTCGAATTTACAAAAATAGCGACCAATTTCGGAATTATCAATACATTTCGGCGCTGCTAAAGTGAGATTACCTAAAATTAAAAAATGCAAATAAGAAACATTGTACGAAAAGTAAAATAAATAATAAACAAATTAATAAATAAAATGTATTTATAACTGTGAAATCAATAAAAAATCGAATTATAAAAAGAATAAAATGTTCGTAGAATATAAGAATATATAATTTTCAATACAACACGTTTAATATGATATATAATGTATTCATACCTTCATTTACGTAACATATTTTATTATTATTGGTAAGAATAATATAATTTGTTTGCTGTTCTGTAAATTGATAATTGTTACAATGATTCAAAGGCAAGTAGTCTATTTGCATTGAATTATTTCGCCATCTGGCGTTATTTGGATTATCTGTCAAAATTTCATAACGTCTGTCTGTATGACGATCCCATCCGATTATGACGCCGTCGCAATTATTGCAATCATCATGATGTGTTACGATCATTCCTACCGCAAATTTTACGTTTTTTGTTCTAATGAATTGCCCTGTTGTTTTTAAACAAAGTTCTTTGACCTGAAAGTATAATGTTATACTTTAATTTATAATTCTTACCATTTAATTCTTAAATATATATTTATAGCATATTTAATTATTCTTATTATTAAATTATAAATAATTATAACTCATATGTATATAGCTGTACCTGTCAAAAAGAAAGAAAAGAGAATTTATTGTTACTATTATAATATATTTTAATTAATGCTGTGTGTATAGTGCATACATACTTCAAAGCTACTTGTTTTAAATAAATAAATTTTTTTACGCTCCTTAATCTGAGAAATGTTGTTATAATGGTATGTCAAATCCGCAAATCTTAGCAGTATCCTGTCTCGCAGTTCACATGGTGATATTCGACCTAATCTGTTGCACGGTAAAAAATCATTACGATATAAATTTTGCGACCTCTTCTGATACGCTGATTTATTGACACGACAATCCGGGAATTTGTTAAACATTACACTAAAACATCTTTCATTTGCTGGATTAATCGTGCCACTGCAAAGCAAACATATTATTTATCTATTATGCACACCTGTGTATGTGTAGAAATATTTTTTTAAAAGATTTCAATAATTCCAAATTTAATTTTATACTACTTACTATCTGGATTTCCAATGTATACAGTAAGATAGTTCTAATCGTTCACCGAATGCCACAATGTCGGAACGTAGACCAAGTCTTCTTGCCACGCTGTGATATATTATTAATATAATCACTTCTTGTCCATATCTACTTTTTAGTACCTATGTCAGAAATTGCAATAAATTAATGAGAGAATGACAGTATTTTTAATATATAAACAAACAAACGGCCATGCTCACAGTACGATTTTCTTCTTCTGACGCCACATATAGTTATAATATACATTATATAACTTACATTATCTATACACATGAATTCCAGAATTGTATCGTTTATTTCGCACGGCCGAAATTTTAATTTGCGAAATATGTATTCGTCTAATGCATCGATAATCTGAATTCCTTCCGCTTCGTTCCAGTGATTATCGTCTATATTATTGTTTTTCCAATAAGAAAAAAATTCAGCGGACGTCGAAAATATCGAATGATCTGGATGTTTTTGTTTCAGATAATTTTGTACCTCTCGTGCAATATTATCCAAAGATTCTACTACGTACGCGTAAGTTACATCCTTTTGGATTTGTAAAGTTTGTGCTACATTAAAGGCAATCCATTCCATAAGCCGTGCTCTATCAGGTAAAGTCTTAAATTTGCCCAAGCTTAATTTTATTCTAGAATTCTTTATATAGTTAAATAGTTTCTCGTGATAATATCTTTCGGTTAAATCGCAACCAGTTCTGAAAAATTTACATATTAAAACTGTGCAAGAACATAATCTATAAAGATGTTAGCACTACAAAATATATTAAGAATTTTACCGTGGAGAATGTGTGAGCAAGCTTTTAAGCTCATCGTTGTAAAAAGAAAATATGGTGAATCTTCGATTACAATATTTGAATTCTTCATAATTATTGTCTTCTAAATAGAAGGAAATATATGTTCGAATTGCACACAATTATCGATTGATTCATCGTCATAATGATCATATTTCATTTGAGACACGTATTTTTGAAATTGTCTCCTATATTGATACCTAATTTTATAAAGTTTATAATTTTTTCTTGGATTTGCATTTTATACGATCTTTAAAAGTCTTAGACATAATGTCATAGTGTTCTTTTAAAGAAGGCCATCTATAATTGAAACAAAAATGATTTAATATTATTAAATAACATTAAGAGTTCTATTGCAGCATCATTAAACAAAATTCAGAGCAATATATTTTTAAATTAATTATAATTTTTTATTTGATTTTTACATATTTTATTTATTTAGGATACTTTACAACTTATTTAGTTAATTGATATATTATATTGATAATATCACAATTATAAAAAGTTTTCTTTTTATTTATATTTTATCATATTATACACTTGTATGCTATATTATAATTTCTAATTATTTTATATTACATTTATTCATTACGTTATGAAAATGGACGGAAAGCCACCGGTTGCATGTGTTTTTAATAAAACTTTTTAATTATTTAAAATATTATTTCATTATATAATGTATTTATAAAAATTATGTTACGTATAAGGAGCTAAAATGGACAAGATTTAAAGCAAGAATTTTGAATATTTAACTATACGCGTTAATTCCAATTTCTGCGTCTTGTCTTTCATTAAAGCGTTTTTACGCGTTTGTTTTTATTAAATGTGTCAACTAAAAACCTTGAATACTTTTTATCGCGTTATTTCTTGAATATACAAAATTATCTAGTTGTATTATATAATAAGAATCGATCTCCAAGTCCGACGATGAAGTAAAGGAGGCATTACATGAGTGTCTTTATGTTCTTAGGTAAAGACTTTTCTAGAAATATCCTGGCACTTCCAGAACACTGGAACGTTTTTATTAAACGCAATGGGAATATTTACAATCAGAAAAATAATCTAAAGTGTGTATCTTTTTGTGTTCGAAAAATTATAAGATGAATAGTATTTAATAAAATAAAATTTTTTTTAATAAACTCACTTAATAGCCATTGTTCATTAGAGTCTTTTTAACTATTTGTTTTAATAAATGTATATTGATTTTTCTTATTAAATTTTAAATATATCGAAATATATATAAAATTTATTAAATATCCCGAAAATTATCACACTTTATTATTTGTTTCCATCTGTTAATGATTACGGATTAGAAATAAAAAAAAATAATAAAGATTGAACGACGATTTTCGAATGTATATAATCCAAAATTATAAAATATGCATAATTATAGAAAATCGTTATATATTTCTACAAAACAAATACCTATAGATAACACATACATATTTTGATTTGAAACAATAATTGTTAAGCAAATGTAACTCACAATCAAATCGAGACACATATCTAATCGTCATCACGGTCGCAAAAGAAAGTACAATATTTACAAGAATCGACGTGAATTGCTTTTTAGAAAATGATTATTTAATAGATTCTATTCTGTATTTTATTATATTCATTATATTTGTAAATTTTTTAGATAAAACTTTCAATATACAAAACTAACGATGCAATGTTTGATCTATGCATGTAAAATATACAAACAACAAAATCTTACCTTTGAGAAAATTTATTTTCCATATACTTTGGATAACTGGCTGCATAACGAAATTGTTTGCAGACGCATCGGAAATTAATGATATCCTCGATGGTGATATCCTTGTAGCTGAGAATAATGGATATCAATTCTTCTGGTAAGGATGTAATCGTTGTCATTATGACAAAAATCGAGAAAGATCACTTAGAGAAATTATATAAATCGAAGTGATTGC